ATGTATGTATGCATGTATGTACATACATAACACGCACGGGGTCGTGTTATATTGTCACGTGACACGCGAGTTAGGTTATGTTCGACTTTGACGTTTGATAAGTTTGATTTGAATGAAGCCGCCCAGTACATCAAACCATTCCGGGAACTGTGTCGACAAACTACAAAGGACTATTTTTGCTGAAAACTCTTCGATAACGCGAAGAAATGCCACCGAAGAAATTAAAGGTTGTATTCTAATATCTTTCCTCATTCGTTAAAGAGTCTCATTCGATGGGACGATAAGGTGATGATAAGGTGATCTGAAAGTACGCGTTAAAATACAGCGCAATAAGACAGATTGGGAAAAATATATATACGTATTTTTAAGGAAATTTCTATTAATCTATTTAATAAATTGTACCATGTTAATAATACGATGTTCTGACGCTTATTCGAATTGCGAAACGTTTGAATCTTTGTATTTTCTGCAGGAGAGTATAACTTTTTTGGTGAACATCGGAAATGTCCGTCATGGCACGCAGAGCAGCTCGCAGCTGTTGGATAAGGAAAAGTTTATTCTTAAACATATTATTCAAAAAAAGGTGTGCTTCTTTTTGTTGCACTGTTAATGACGGCACGGTTACACCCTACATTTAGGCCGTGGCCTATACCTCAAATTTGACCAAAATTATTTAGGTCGCCTGCTGTAAACACTTGGTAGGCGACCTGATCTGGTTTCAGGTCAGGCCTCGTATTTTAGTTCAGTGACCTGACCTAAAAGGGCGTTTAGATGGCCCTACCAGCGTGGACTAAATTCGACTCCGTCAATTCTTAGGTCTCTATCGATATAAATAGTTGGTGACTAGACCTACTTTAGGTCATGGTATAGGTCAGGCCAACGATCAGGTTGCTGTAATCAGGTGTAACCGGGGCTCTAGTCCATATTTATGTTTCTGTCAATCATGAGAACAATCCTGCGCAGATATTTCTACGTCCCAAGGATGAGATAGGAGTGATACTAATGGGCTCAGATAGCAGCAGAAGCGACAGTATTACAGGATTGGACAACGTACGAGAACTGTGTCATATGCAGGTTGGAAACTGGGATTTGATAAAAAGCATCGAGAAACTGGAAACCACAAATCAGACTTCTTCATGGATGGAAGCAATTTATGCCGCGGTCGAATATATCAAACACGAATGCGTGTAAGTGTACTTAAACGCAGTATATCAGTAATTTTTGGTCAATATGTATTAAATTTGCTGTTCTTTTTATTTCAGAGAGCAATGTGAGAGGAAAATAGTCTTGCTGTCTACTTTCAACGAGGAGGAGGAGACTGTTGACCAATTTCAAGCAGAGGATATTGCGGAGATATTAAGTTCAGGAGAAATCTCTCTTATAGCAATGTATTGATTCTCTTAACTTTGTCATTAATATTAGTAATACCAAATTAGAATAATGTCATGGTATAAAATTAGAATAAAAATATAAAATAGAATGAAAAAGAAAATTACATGTTGCAGTGGAGAGAGAGCACTGGATACTATAGATGAGGATTCTCAAACAGCCAGTGAAATGTTACTCATGAACGTTCTGCAACAGGTAATTTAAACAAATGCGGTTGTATAAAAATTATTATATAAAAAAGATAAATTATATAATTTTAAAAAGATAGAATAATACATGTATAATATATTATTAATTGTATAATAATTATTACATAATATTTTACAGATTGGCGGTCAATATCTCACTTTTGAACATGCTATGACGGACGTACGCTTCTACAAACGGCCGTCGACTAGGCCGAATCCGTGGTCCTGTCAAATGACATTAGGTGACTTCTGCATACCAATTCGCGGAATTTCTAAAGTAAAGCTCTAATATACGTAAAAGTTATTGTTGCACGTTTTTTTCTTGTATATGTATCGTCACATATTATTTACGTCGTAAGATGCTGACTGAGGTAAAGTCACCAGAAATGGTACTGATGGCTAAGACGAGTACATCTGACATACCTGATCAGGAAGTGCCAATTAAGAATGTCGCACAATGGACGGACAATAATAGGACTATTCACACAAAAGAGGATATTATCCGTGGTTACGTCTATGGTGGAAAGACCATTCCTGTTTCAGGTAATTTATATTTAACTATATAGTCAATTTTGCCTACATAATTTAGAAGACCGATGTCTACAATATGCCGATTGTAGATGAAGCTAAGAAATCCATGACTCCCAAAGATAATGAGAAATGTTATAAAATTCATGGTTTTACTGCGAGAGAAAACGTTCCTATGGAATATTGGTTGTCGGATGGCACCTACGTAATTGTACCCGCAAACGAGGTACGATAGCAAGGTTTCTCTGTTATATAATTGCCGTAAAATTTAATGATGTAGCAACAGAAATGAACGAGAAATTCTTTACAGGTGGCTGCCGAACCGTTTTATAGTCTGGTGCAGGCGATGGTTGACAAAAATGTTGTCGCGATAGTGGAGAAGATCTATAGAGCAAACTCCGAAGCCAATATGATGGCATTATTTCCAAGTGTTGATGTACCGAATGAACCATGGGTGAGAATATGTTCTCCATTATTTCTTATCTCGTTAATGCTAATCAAATTAAAGATCTTTTTGTGATAGTGTCTTGTTGAGATCGGTTTGCCATTTGAGCGAGATTATGGAGCAATAGCTCAGAAACCGTTGAAATTCGTGATGAAACAACTGTCGAAGGAACAGGATGACGCCATGGATGATTTGTTAATGTCCTTAGAATTGCCTGATGTGTAAGTATATAACGTATTTAACATAAATATACAATATATTTAATAAATTATGCGAGGAACAAAGTTATTATATTTTTTACAATATTTATACAATATTCTTAATTATCTATTGAATTTTTCTATCAGTGCCGACGATGACGCAACTGGCGGTAGTGAGAAATATTTACCGGGATATATGCCGGATCCTGGAACACAACACATGTGGGATATATTAGCGGCTCGCGCGCTTAATCCGGACAAACCGTTGCCGCCTATCGCCGACGATGTGTTAAATCTTCTAGAGCAACCCGAATTCGTGAAAGAAAAATGCAAACCAGTGGTGGAAAGGATCAAAAACTTATTCTTCTTGGAGAAAAAGAAGCCTCTTAGAAAGTGAGCATATTCTTAGATGAGATTAAAGATTATGTTCAGAATGGATTTAATACTAAAATTATCGGTTTGTTTCTTCTTTTAGGCGTAGAAGATCGCAAGAGGAAGATAATAAACCTGATGCTAACAATGATGCGCTTATGACGCAGACAGTTAAAGAAGAGGAGAAAGATATTGTACAAGATCATAACGATAAATCGGAAAATAACGTTTTATCTGATGCGTGCGATTTCAATTTTGATGAGATTGTAAGTATAGAAACTCCATGTAAACGCATTATTAAATCTTGAATATATAATTTTTTAATAGATATGCAATAGACTTTTTTAAAAATATAAATATTGTTACAGGCTGATATGTAAGGAGCTGCTGGCAAGAATTATTTTGCAATTATATATAATATATATATTTTTTTGAATTATCTTAATTCATACCATGATTAAAGACTTGAAAACCATTCAATGATATATTTTTTATATACATGTTGAATGAAATCAATCATGTTTCAGCAATAATAAAAAGATGTAATATCGTAGTGAGAAATGTATAGAATTTATTTTTTCAGAATAATAGTTTTTAGTCTTCGGTATATTTTTTCATGCCAGAAGTGACGATGATTCTATCATCGACCAAATAAGAGAAAGACGAGGCCACCCACCCACATAACGCCTACATTTCTATCCTCGACTTACCAAAAATGCGTTAGCGTTTAAATATTGTATTGTAGCATACATTATGCTAATTAATCAAAGATTTATTAATTTAATAGACAGACAATATTCTGGAAAAGTGAAGGTTTTTACGTAGATAGAAATGCCCTATCGATACCTCATAATATAGCTTTTATCCAAAAGCTAAAAAAAGATTTAATTAATTTTGTGCGTTAATAAACATTATATCATTAAACATGTCCGTTTGCGAAATTGAAATTTTATTTGTGAAAAGTATTAGGTATAAAAATTCATTTACAGATTGGTTTCTATATTAATATATTCACTCGCGATCTACATAGCTCTTCAATTATCTCATCGATTTGACTCGCGAGGATGATGCGTGGTGCTACTGGTGCTTCATCCCGTATCTATAAAAGGAAAGAGATCTGGTGCGGCGCGAAGCCGATCGCTCGTGAAACGCACGATTCCTCGTCGACGATTCTTACGATTTGAAGCGTCCTGTACTCAGCGGTGAATCAAGACACCTTAAAGCCTTGAGCGCAACATAACTTTGTGACGGAACTGTGCCCGTTCACGCAGCTTTATATTTCAGAAAATATTTAATTATAGGAAAATTTTATTTAAACAAGGTATGGTTGTTAATGGAGCTCTATTGATATATAGTCAGCAGACCAGGCTATTTATCCGGCTATCGTTTCACGTATAAAAATTTAAAAAATGCAAGCTTTATTTAATTGCAATAATAATATATCAAGTATCAAATTTTATTGTGATATTCTAAAGTCAATTGTCACGATACGTTGAATATTCACACTGAAATTACGACATTTCACTAATTAATAATTCTTCTCGCGACTTCGCAGTGCGGGTCGGTTACTATCAGGTTACTACTGTCCGCTGCTGTCTAACGGACGGCTCTCGGGTGGGGAGGGCCGGAGACAGGAGGACGCGATAGACGCGATAGTTCAGTCGACGAGGAGACGCTGTGTCGCGAGGATTGGCGAGGATCAACAGGTGCGAGCGTACACTCGTCGTCCGAGAAGCATGGGTAAGTCGAACACTTTATCTCTATTCTTGACACGCCGCGCCGTTCCCGTCCGACGAAGCGCGTCGGATATCGCGCTTTGCGACACGCGAATCTCACGACCTGTTGACGTATCACGCTGGAAATGCTGGAATCTCGGAGCTCGTCCGCTCCGCGGAAAACGATCCTGGGGCCCGTCGGGGCCCTGGACCCTTCCTCGAAAGTGTGCAGCTCTCGCGTCACAATCTCCGTGTAAATTTAAGCGAGTTTCGTCACAACTGAGCAATTTTAACCGTTGTATTAATTTCCGGATGCCAAAAATAGGGATACGTAATTTTTAAAAGCGTGAAAAAAAGATTTGGATCTCTCAGACGCTCATTAAATATCCTTTAGGTAGTTTTAAATCTCTTGCTTTTTTGATGTTATAAATTCTAAAGAAATTACGTCGCTCTTACAATTTGTTTTAATGACTTATTCCTGCAGATATTGGGATGTTAAGAGAACGTAATAATATTGGAAAGATATTTCATTCTTTTCTGAATATTTTTTCTATCTTCTGAGCTTTGATGTCACCGCTCGATTAACACAAATATTCTAAAGAAACGTATCGTGTAAATCCAATATTTTCAGAAACGTTAAAAACGAAAATTAGGAAAAAACGACGTATCTTTTAAATGTCTTATGGTCTTTCGACATATTTTAATAAAATATGTCTATTCGATATTCGTCATTTTGTTAATTTAATATTTTTTCTTAAAGTAGCGCCCGTTGAAATGTTCGCAAGTTTCTCATTCACTATTAGTTTCCCGTGGAATTCGGCGAAAGTTTGCAAATTAGAAGAAGACAATGAACTTGAGACTTCCTGATGCGTATGCAAGTATGAATTATGCGCCTCGAGCTGTAAGGATGAGAAATAACGTGACGAACAAATATCTTTCCGTCAAGTTACAGATATCGAAAAATATTGGAATGTACGTACAAGAAAACGAGGAAAGACTACGATAATCGAAATTCAATTCTCACACAGCTATTAGCAATCTACTCGATCCGGATTAGACGCTGTGTGAAATGTCATGGATAAATGTCTCGTCGTGAAAATGTCATGTACAGACGCATCTTAGTATACATAGCTAGTTGAACGCTATGCTACCAACTATCATCGAACGAGAAGCGATATTTCTTTTCTACGTTTAGCGAGAAAAAAAAAATTTATTCCCTTCCTTAGAGCGGAAGATATTTGCGTTATACGCCATGGAATCGAGGAGATTTATTCGACGGTTCGGCAACGCAAATTTATGCGTCGGCCAATGCAACTGCCTGCGGACTGAGATATATTATATGCGTGGTGTGTTGCGTAAATGACGGGGAAAGTCTCGTGGGCCGTGATAATGTCAAAAAGCCGAGGCAATTCGATTGATTTTGGGTCAGCGACGCTGGGAACGAAAGAGAAGCTCTCGCACGCGACGACGCCGACGCTTCCCGAGGCCGCCGCAGCTCTGGCTGTTGACCGTGAAAAAAATACATGAGCGATGCGAAGAAGATAAGTAGTAAACGCTGACCTAGAATCGAAAAGTGTGGAAACGCGCGTACGTTAATCGACTTGCAGATAGAGAAAAAAAAGAAAAGAAGTGTCTTATCGGGAGCCGTGATCGCAATTACGATTCTGCGACTGGAAGAAATTATCTAAATTTGAATCCTTAGTTAACGGATGTTCGGCGGGTTTTGTGATCGTGAATGAATTGCATGAGAAACGTCTCAACGGGATATATGATATAATTTAAGAAAAAAATTTGTATTTAATTAATTACTTGAATAATTTGTTGGCTTTTAACCAGCAAATTATGAATATAAATTTGATTAAAAGCTAACAAATTATCCAAGTAACTAAGGCTCCTGTTCACTCACCACTACTATTTCACAATAAAAATTCTTGATAAATATATTATGGAAATATGTTTCAATAAAGCAACATTTACAATCGATAGAATAATCGACTTGTAAAATGTATCAAAAACTATCTTTTTGTTTCGGGGAAGAATTAAATCATATTTATATTTCTATATATTATTTTGTTTTTGTTATGCATAATTTATTTCCAAAAATATATGGTTATTAATTAACAAAATAAAAGGACAGTTTTCGGTATCTTACAAGTATATCTTACAAGTCGGTTCTATTGATTGTAAGTGTTATTTTATTAAAACATATTTCTATTTAAATTGGAATTTAAATATATATATTTTGCAAGAATTTTTATTATATATTTTCTCGCTTTTGACGTCACTATGAGATAGTAGTGAACAGGAGCTTTAATTAAAGGATAATTTAGAAAAGCTAATTCAAAGATTGTGGTACTTAGGAATAGGATTTAATAAAAAGAGGCAAAAAGCAACGCTAAGAATTATCGCCTCGATATTGCGTTTTTGTCCTCGACATACTCTCGTCTTTAACGAATTGCGACGTTTATAACATTTGCGCAAGATAGATCGCCGCCGGTAAAATATCCAGATCCTTTCTCTATCTTTTTTCTCAGCCTTTTTTTCTGCGACGGTGCACTACCACGTTGCGCAGTTGATTTTTCCGCGCTGACTCACCTTTTTGCTTTTGCAGGGAACATTTACGTCTGCAGCCTGCTCGTCGCACTCGCTGTAAGTGGCCGGACTTTCATCCGTTGCGGGACTCATGCGGTCCTGCGAATGCATTTTCCTGCGCTTTTTGCTCCCGGAAGTCGATCGTTCTCTCCGCGCGCATGTCGTCGGCACGAGAATTTTCTGTCGTCGAAATGCCAACAATACACCGGCGGATGAGAAGGCGAATGAGAAGACGCGGTTAATTAACCGAACTCGCACATAAATTTAATTCTAGCTAATTCTCGTAACGAGCGGGAGAAACTTTCTGGCGTAAAATTGGAACAGTCTTTCCCTTTTTATTAAATAATTTTGTGCGCTAAACAATAGTAAAATAATGTATAGCATAAATCTTTCTATAAGCTTATTTGGATCACGCGAAGCAGCGAAAATTAATTCATAATTTTGCAATGTCTGAAATTTTTAATTTTAATTTTTTTTATATTAAGATAATATATTTTTTAACTTCAATTTTTTAAAAAATTTTCCGTGATTCATATACATGTTATTTCAAGAAAAAAAAAGATTTTTGATCATGTTTGTATGTGTCGTAGACGCTATTCGTTGCGGTGCAATGTGGTGACATAATGCGCAAGAGCATCGTCTTCGACAAAAATACGCCGGACGTGTTTTATTGTCCGCAACACAAGCCGATCGGTTTTGAGAAGATGCTGGTCAAGGCGAGACCGCTCTCCAGGCTCTGTCAGTTCGAGGGCCGTCCGATACCTGAAGATTACAAGAGCGACTGTTACAACGATGTGGACGAAACCGAGTACGCTTGCAAGGAGAAGTACAGAATCATGGTGAGTGTCGAGTTTTACTCGAGATCGTGATAAATTACGCGAAAAGTAAAATCGATGGTGAAAACAAGCTGTTTATATGGTTTTGAAAGAAGTAGTACATATATGACCAAGACAAAATCAATTTGAAGAATATTCCAAAGAATTTATATTCTTCCAAGGAATTCATATGGAAGAGTAATATTTCTATTGGTACATCTATATAAAAACATATTTTCTTCCATGAATACTTCCAAATTTAACTAATTTTTAATTAAATTAGATGTATCGTTAATGTCGACGTCAATAAGATCAATGAACTTGCGATAAAAAATTAATCCTATTTAACTTTAAAATAAAGGACAAATTCGCTCGATCTGTGTCATCGTTGTAACATCAAAAACGCCGTAACGCGTGTAACGGATTGGTGTCGGTCTTTTTTCTCATTACAGAAGCGATTCAATAATCCAGATGGGAAATCGAGAGTCATTGACGCCGAGAAGTAGAACGGGGATGCTGCACGGCCACAATCCACGCGCAAATCATAAAACCCAAATAGTCAAAGTCACACCATACTAATGCTCGGGGCTGCTGCTGCGTCGGAGGGAGCTCAACCATTCACAAATAATACTTATAATAAAATAATAACGACAACGTAGATAAGCTCGCAATTATTGCCTTAAATAAATTATCCATTTCTTCATGTTACAATATTAAATAGTAATATTATATTACGTTACGTTTGCCTCTTCGGGCGAACAATACATAAATAATGAAATCACTGCCACAACAAATATTCAAGATGAAGAAGTGGATAACAAAAAAAATAATTAACACACAAATAAGATGCTCATAAAATAACAAGATATTTTATAGCATACATTTTTCCACTTATCCTAGGACGCGAGATATGATAAGGAACAATAATCAGTTCTCTAATTTTTAAGCTTCGTCAAGGGTTTATTTTTATAACATTATTAATAAAACTAACCGCAACAGAGCTTGGTGATTGATCATTAATCCTTTGACGGAGCTTCGGAAAGTATTATTGCTTTTATATGAGGGTTCAACTAGCATAGCTTTATCAGTCACATGTTAGTTAAGCCATATTATGAATCATATTGCTAGCATTTACTTTGTAATGCTTATAAATGATTTTAGTCACGGATATCTATTACTTTAAAAATTTTATCCCATTTCCACTTATGGTAATAATTAAAAAACCATAGAACTTTGTAAAATATTTGCAAAAAAGCCAAATTTTTCGATAATTCCATAACACCCGGACAAAACTGGAGACTTTTCATGAATTTGCAAGTGTGGAATATTTGATAAATGTCCTTATCTATCGCTGTGTATACATGAAGATTTTAGTTTCATGTCACATATACATATATAATATATATACATGAATAAAGCATTGGTAGAATAAATATTGTTCTTTATATTATTTTGTTGTCGACTTGTGTCACGATATCTCGAGGAACACATCGAAAGTCAGGAGCACGTGGTACGTAGTCCTTCAAGATTGAGTGCAGATAAATAATTAATCATCAACGCCGAGTGTGAGGGGAAAATTACGTTGTGGATAGATTATTTTATGCCATTATTATGCATACGATTATCTGACATCGGCCTTTGTTTTAGATGAGGCTTCATCCACCGGGAAGTAACACGCCTTATAACGGGACACGCCTGTCCAAGTTTTTGGCCTTCGACAAAGATTTGCCGTATGCGCGAAAGAAGAATCAAGTGTAGAGGAGAGCGGCTGCGTTCAAGGACGACCCAAGGAAGAGGGCCTTATATTAATGCAGCTGAAAATGTTCGCACGACGAACATGTTAGTTATGTTATCAATCTTATATGCTACTGCTAAAGACAGAGTCACTGAGTTCCTGTAATCCAATTAACGAGAAATGCGTCCCATTTTCGTACAATCGATCAGATCGAACCAGCTACTGATCGCTCATTTATGTTACCATTTACTTGTGATACTTGTGTTAAACGATTTAACGTTCCTACTCGGCTTAACGCAAGTGCGAACTTCCTTCACGAAATGCAGTGAAATTGTTTTTGTAACATACAACATACGTAAAAAAAACCACTTTGTTGCTTAGTTACGTACTTATATATAGATAGAGAAAAGAAAATAATATATTTAAGGAAACATCTCTTCATCTATATTTATACATTGTTACTTGTAATCAGTACGTGAGAAATGTATAATATTTAATATTATGACAATATGTTCATGTAGAATATGTATATATCAGTGCATATTTATTCCGATGATATTCAAGAAATTCCCATGTAAAATGGATGCATTTATGTCGCGGCATTTAATTACAGAAATATGTACTAGTAGAATTTATGAAAACTATAATTACAAAGAACAAGAGATATCTCAATTAAAATTTAATTGCCTCCTTTAAAATTATCAAATATTTAACATAATATTAATATAATTGGAAATATGTACAAAAAAATTATAATTCTCAACTCAAAAACGCGCAAAAATTGCTTTGTTGTTTTCAATGGCAGCTTATTCTACATGTAAAAGATAATTATCTTTACACGTTATGAAGTTAACAGTTCCTCTTTTATAGGAAATTCTTTCATAAAACTCTAAAATGTTAGTCCGCTAACATTTTGATATAATATTACTTTATCTTTGTTCACATTGTAATACAAAATTAAAGTCAAGTATGAATCTATATTTAATTCGAATTTTATTTTAAATTTGTATCCAACCTTATTCGATGAAGCATTTATAATTCGTAAAACTTGATTTATTACGTAAAGAAAACTAAAAAAACACTTTTTACAAATGTTATAACAATTATAACAATGTTTTGCACTAATTTTTAAAATTTCAATTATAAACACTATTAGCGAAGATTTTAATAATATGTCCCAATGTACATACATATGTAATCATTTCAATAATACGAAAGAGATGCAAAGAAGTTTTAAGGCTCCTGTTCACTCAGTAGCCATCTTGATGACGTCAGGAACGAGAAAATATATAATGAAAATTCGTGCAATGTACGTTAAAATAAAAATGTTTTTAATAAAAGCGTTCATAACTGATAAAATAGACTTGAAAAATATACCGAAAACTCCCTTTTTGTTTGGGTAATCAATAAATAACCCACATATATCAAATTGAATTGTATCTAAAAGGATGAAAACAAGCTGTTTGACAGCCGCTGAATTAAAATAAATATATTTGTTATAATTTAATATTATGACAATATGTTCATGTAGAATATGTAGATCAATGCACATTTATTCCGATAATATTCAAGACATTCTCATGTAATTGGATGCATATTAAATTATAATAAAATGGGAGTGTTCGGTATGTCGTAATACTATGACAATTATTTTAAATATAAAAACATTGCACTGAAATAAAAACAATTGCAAGAATAATATAGCTTTTTAACGTTATTTTTCACGCTTTGTAACTCATAATTTTGCCAATTATGACGCTATGTACTATCAACGCTTGGCAATCGAGCCAGCAGGAGTCTTAACAGAAACTCTGTTGTTCTCTAGATCTATTCATATTTCATATTGTACTATACCTAAAGTCGAAATATAAGTTATATATTGCGAGAAAGAACTAATTAGAATTAAGTAGTACTTTTTTAAAAACATTTTTTGTACATGTATGTAACGGAAGATATTGTCTAATAATTAATCTTAAATTAATTCTCTTTAAACCTTTGCGTAAGATACATCTGACGTACGAGATGCACCTATCGATAAATTTCTCTGTTTTTACGATCTAACTAATGACTAAATCGGCAGATGTAAAAATAAAACTTATCGGATCGCGTGCGTATCACATTTATGTTATCGATTGCGAAAAATTAGGAAACGAAGCAAAGACACACGTGGTTTGTGTAATTCGAAATAATCGTCATATTACACGCTCTATAAGATCAGTTTCCCTCCGTTTGAGGCCCTGATTTGCGCTACTTGCTCCGGAGTGAGTATGAGTTTGCTGCCATTGGGTAATGCCAAGGCGTAGTGACTTCCGGTCTCGTTTACGACCACCACCAGCTGTGTGTTGGCATTCGTCGTCGGCGGTGGATTATTTTTTACTGGCGTAATGGATATACCGCCCTGGCTCATTCGCTGAATAATCTGCGGCGAGAGAATGCCTTTTGTTGAAGGGACGGTGATGTCCGAAGTGATCGTAGGTTTCTGTTTAGGTTGATTAGCATCTTTCTGAGACTCTAACGACCTAGCTCTGTTGGTTGGAGTTGTTTTCCCTGTGGTAGTGGTGGGAGTTTTCTCCATGACGATCATTTCTATCTCATCGTCGCTGTCACTGAGCATGATCACGGATGTGACCTTTTGTCCGCTGTTCTCCGTGCTGGATGTCTGTGATGTTTTTCGCCTTGCCCTCGATAAAGGTTGTGGAGGAACGTCGCCTCTTATGATTTTCGAGTTGGTGGGCCTTTGACAATTGCCTCTGACAGGCGTGCTATTGCTCCTTGTCGCCGCGCCGTTAGGATGCTGCAAGTTCTGTCGCGGCGCCGCAGATTTGTTATTCTGGCTGTATCTATTCTGCGGCCTGGGAGTACCCGGGTAATAAACTGGATTCTGCGGGTTTGGCTGATTTGTCATCGGCCCAGGTACCATGTATCTTGCCTGAGGCCTTGATTGCGCTGCATAGGGCACATAACTCGTATTGTTGACGTATGGTTGGGCTACCATCATCCGCGGATTCTGCTGTTGATAAACAGCTTGCTGTTGCTGCTGAGCGACGGGCAGAAACTTACCCCGTGGAGGGGTATGCATCATATAGGGCTGCATGTAGTAACCCACATGCGGAGCTTGCGGCACGACTCCCTGGATTGCTCCCTGGGGTACGACTCCAGGATTCTGCGGCATCACGTAATAATAGTTTTGTTGCGAATTCGCGGGTACGTAGTTACTCTGTCCGTAGTGGCTTGTTGAATTGGATTCGTACGGCGGACCCTCATCTTTAATGTCAAGTTCCGAGTGCACACTTTTGACAGATTCAATCTTGCAGATCGTATCTGTGGAAGGCACTGCTCCGTTAGGATTTTTGCTCACTGCAGATGCAATAGTATCACCAGAGATTTGCGATTCAGCTCTTTTTTCGGGTTCTCTATCTTTGAGTTTACCCTTCAGCTTATCTTTGATAATTTTCGCATTAGCAGAATGAGAAATTTCAGATTGCGTTACATTGCTTTGAGATGCATTTTCCTTAATGTTCTGCAGCTTATGCTCGAATGATTTTAACCTTCGATTGGTAGCTAAAACAATACAAATGTTAAAGTTATAAAAGTGTTAAATGATACAACATTTATGATTTTATAGCATTTTTCTACCAGTTTCTCTCTCTTTTTTTTTTTTTTTCTTTTTTTTTTTTTTTTTATTAAAATGGACTATCAATAATGTTCCATCACAAAAGACAAATTTTAAATTCTATGAGAACTTTAGCATCAATAGAGAAAAGATACAATGGTCCAGTTTTTTTCTTGGAAATTCGGACACTCACACGAACGTTTATTTTTCCTTTTGCGAGAGCTCGGTAGAATCCAATCCTGGTCTGAGTCCTCCTCTTCCGACCAGTTGCCAGTGTTTCGGTCTTTCGGGTCAACGTGAGAAGCGGGTGTATTAGTCTGTGTGCCGGGAGCCGCATACACTGCCTCAACATCGGTCCATTCTTCCAACTCGTTCTCGTCGCTCTCGTCGTCTGAATAGAGCTGTTCTGTGTACGAAGAGACGCCGCGCGCTCGTAGTACTCGTCTACTGTATTGCGTTTCCTCTGCATCTGCAAGGACGTATCGTTTTCAGTATAAAAGAAGAACAAGATACCTGGATGGAAGACGAAGGAATACCTTCGTCGTTTGACGCGCTCTCATTTCCCTCGTGTTCCTGTTTCTCTCCCTCTTCCGCGACTTGGTTTCTTCCTGGCGGCGCTTCGATGTCCGTCTGTTTCTCGTCACTTCCGTTTCGTCTTTCGTCGCTCGATTCCTGACTCTCGTGGTGACTCTGCTCGGAATTTTTGGTCGCACTTTCGTGTTCGTTCTCAACTTGTTGTGATTGTTTTTGGGTATTTTGGGTGCCAAGTGGGGATAGGGCAGATTGCGATAACGTTTGTAACGTTGCATCTCCGGATGTTGAGAGTGGATCCTTGCCCTGCGATCCAAGAACCCACCAATTAGAGCTGAGACCACTCTCACCGGATGAGTCCTGATCCTCCACACTGCTACAACACATTACATGTTTGTCTACCATACATGCTCGACAAAGTAATTAACGTTACTGGAAGAAGTGGACAGCGACCACATCGTAAATCACACATGGATTGTAGCAATCTCAAGGCGTCAGGTAGTTCAAATTCTTCAGAAAAAATGGAATAATATAATGAAAATGAAAATATGAAGCTATGACACGACATTATTTTGCTATTCGTATTACCAATAAAAGCCAAGAAACTTCGCAAATGTGCGTTAATAAAGTATGTTAATAAAGCAGAATGGCAATGAGATGATATTTTCTAGTATCTTGAATTACAATACTTTTCCGTGATCGTTTTAATGTGTGACGATGTATGAGATTTTGAGAAATAATATCGATTATTTCATGCTTTAAGATATAAAGAATATGTTGCTGTACATACCCTTCTTTAAAATTAAACCATTCCCTTTGAAGTTTTGCCTTCGCTTTTCGCATTGCATCCTTTATCGTCGTCTCCATCGGTTCCATAGAATTTAATAATTCAGTCAATTTCTTTACCAACTTTACTTCACACAAAGGAATAACTTCCGCCTATAAACGCAGCATAATTTTTAGCAAATAAGCAGCAAAATATTATAGATAAAATCATTATAGATAATTGTATCAAGCTTACGTTATTGGAATTATTACTTCCCGAATCGCTCGTTGAAAAACTAGCAATAAGATCCCTTAATTCTTCCACACTATCGGCTACAAGGTAAAAATCGGAAACGCTGAGATCGGACAACATCTTGTCGAAACGTTGCTTGCATTCATTTGTCTTCAGATCCTTGGATCTTCGCAAATTGTAACCGGTATCAGTATTGTTTGTATAATCGTCTAAATCGCATTCCACATTCGCTTGTAATCGCGTCTCGCTTGCAGAGAAATTTTCCTTATCTGTCTCATTCATTTGATCGTCTTCTGATCCCTGCCCCTTTTTTATCTCATCTTTCTTGGCTTCAGTTTTATTTTTTTTATCGTATTTTATTATATTTCGAGATCGCAATTTCATTTCTGTTCTCAAATTTCTTTTTCGAATCTGGTTGTCCGATTCCGTTTCTATCGTCGGTTGTATTTCTGAGATATTGAGATACTCACTAGACACTTCTTCACTTAATGACATATTATTGATGGAGGAAGATGCACAAAACACCGTATTAAAAATTGTTTTTCTATTTAAACTGTTTTCACTTACGCTAATATTACTATTACTAGTTTTCGTTTCATTCAGTTTCTCGTCATCCGATTTAGATGTCAATATTGAAATATCACTTACATTATCACTAGCAGAGATACTTTTGGAATATACATCTTCAGGTAACTTTGAACCCTCGGCATTAATTATCTCATTCAGTTTTTCATCGTCCGTCTTTGAACTGTTGGACAAGTTATCGCTCAATTTCTCGTTCTCATCTTTTTCGGCAATTAATGTTTCACTATGGGATACTGCAGTATCTTTGTACAATTCTACAAAGTTTTCTTGTGATGCTAATTCATCACCACTACTGCTTTCGTGTTCACTCATTCTTTTCTCTTCGTCAATTTCCGTTTTTAAATCATCTAACATTTCATTAATTATTTCTATATTGCAATTGTCATTCTGAGTATTGGTAAAGCCTTTGAACATCCGTGACGATTCGTCATCGACAGATTTGTTATCGCTGGAGGTATTGGTATCATAGCCGCTGGATCTCGCATTTGACAGCGAACTTTCCTCGGACATTTTCGACAAACTCCTGCGACGCTTCCTGCTTATGGCGTCTAGGCTTACGTTGTTGTTGTTATTATTACTGTATGTGCTCGTACTACTCAAATTCGTATCTTCACTGATAAACGAACCTGTGGCACTATCGTTGTTACTAAGATCTTTATCATCATTTCTATTTTCATTTTTATTCGATCTGCGATCGGATAAGTTATTGTGTATTTGCAATTTCCTCTTTCTGTATCTGATAAATTTGTTCCTTTCCGTTTCTCGCTCTTGTTTGATAGGCTGCAAAATTCATAATTTATATAGCATATGAAACATAAAAAGCTTATACAAAATATCATAGTATGTTTTAAAACCATTTGAGTTTGAGTATCTGTTGTAATGAATATCGAGATTTTCGAGATCGTTCTCATGTTGTGGTATTAAAATTTACTGACCATTGTATTAGATATTGTGATTTAAAGATAAAAAATTTTCACAAAAATGAGATATTTTTACATAGAACATTATAGCAAATGAGGAACATTTTTCTATTCCATATAAAATGTGTTCATACTAGGTAATTAAATTATCTCTATAATGCACATTAAAGGATTTAGTAAGAATAATAAAAATATCCACATTAAAGAAATTAGTAAGAATAATAAAAATATTATTTTTTAATTAGTAAAAATATAAAGGGCTATTCATTTAAAGAATTTTCAAATGTCTGTGGTGACGGTGCCCCTACCAGGACGGCAGCCCGGTACCACATTAATTAGCTGCGAATTCTCGCAAGCGCCTAGCCGCGCTAACAAGCCGACAAACAAATTCAGCAAAAATACTCATCGCCTTCATCAACCGATCGACGCTCCAAGTAAGAGTCGATTTGAGCACATACTCATGGAATGATCATCCGACTCGTAGAGAATTGCGACTAGTATTTTTTGGAGTGATATTATTTACAGCTTTACATCCCATCTTACACTAGGTATCTCTCTTTTCCATACACCACCACCACCACCACATTTTACCTCAAATGTCAATTATTAAAACCCAATGAAAACCCAATGTGTGTGTGTGTGTGTGTGTGTGTGTGTGTGTGTGTGTGTGTGTGTG